AGTAGATTGTATATTGTTTAGGAAACATTCAGCAATATTTAACATGATTTAATTTCAGATGAATCGGAACCCAGTAGTTCAGGATCACAACCTCCAAGCTATCAGCACATCCCAGTACCAGGATCAAATGCAGATGAGACCTACCTCACACTAGCTTATGAGGTAGTGCTAATAGGCCTTGGCCAACAGAGAGTCATGCCACATGGTGTCTATGCCCAGGACAAATCTTGCAAAGCTGAAGAGGAACTTATTGCAAAACACAGGGAAATAACAATGGATTCCAGACTAGTCTCTGTACTCCAGAAACAAGCTTCATTACTGATTGATGGTAAGCTACATCAAACATGAATTGTCCCCAAAGAGCACATGTCAAATGTTAAATAATTGCAAATGTGGAAAAACAATTGATATTGTGTAGTGGAAAGCTATCAATTTTTTTAAATCTCTTTTAAACTGGAAAACTTTACCACACTGAAGGCAGGAAGAAATCTTAAGTTGCGAGTTTCCTGAACGAGCATCACTTAAATTCAATAACAGTCAACCTGAGTTTAGGCATTAGTCGTTGGCTTCATAAACAACTTACTTATTTTGAGTCTTGTGTTACATTTTTAATGAAAATGAAAAATATCACTGGTTTAAAAAAGTCATGATTTTTGTAATGATGTCCTAATCATGAAATCACGAAACAAGATCATAAAACTGTGATATCACAAATCCATGCCATCACAGATTGGTTTTCAATAAGCATCATGAAGTACATGGATTGCAACAAGTGCCAAATCCATTACAGTCTTCATAATTACTTGGCTCTTATTATTTCAGGAGGACCATCAAGTGGACTAGGGATTCCCATACCACCTCAGAGTGTACCAATGCATTCCTTTGGTCATTACTTGTTCAAGGTGCTGTTACAATACAACCAGAACTTAGCCTATAGAGTTGGGCTTAGGGCAATGAGGTAATTATCTGTTATTTATTGTCTTATATATACAAATATTAGATGTGTATTTTCGAGAATTTTAAATTTATATTTATATATATATTCTAACTCTTTGTAAATATGTTGAATGTTTTTTGTTTAAAGTGATGTTCAGGTAGACTAACTTTGATAGACTTTTTTGGAATCCAGTCTCAGCACCATTTTCAATTGTAATTTTTGTTTTGTTTAAACTTGTTTTATGAGAGAAAATAAATGAAATGAAAGGAAGAGCCTATTAGAAATAGTCTTAACTGTGGGGTATTGTGGAGAAATGCCCTCTCATATAAAGAGAACCTGATTTATTAAAGTAATGCCTGTCAAATGTCAATTCTAATTTAGGTAGCATTACAGTTATTGTATGGCCTAGAAACAAACATGAACATTATATCATAAATAGCAAACTGCCAAAACAGCTACAAACGCAATTAAGTGATATTTTACACTTCTTTTAAACATTAGGTAAAGATTCCTAGGATTCTCTTTCTTTATGTAATTTAATGGTAGAATTGGTACTACTGTATATAAAAAATCTGCAAAAAGTTATCCTTGGTCACATTGCGGTAACCACTTCCTTGGTGTTATAGGTAGCACCTTCTATTTTGTGAAGCTATTTTGCCAACATCAGTAGTACATATTTTGTGGAAAATTACACCGCAGTAAGGCTCTGCTATTACTGCGAAGTTTAAAAAAAGTAATTCTAGCTAATATCGTCATCTATAGATGTTACTGGTGAAACCAGCATGCAACAAACATGTTACTGTAATATAAACACCAGTAGTCTTTAAAAGTACCTGTTACACAAGTCATTCAGCCTGCAGTTATTGTGCTTATGGGTGTACCATAGCAACAAATTAGTTACACTAAGTGAGTTAAAATACTAAAGACCACATTTAGGAATTTCATTGGAATAGGGATTTAGTTCAGCATTCTCAATTTTTGATACTCATCAGCCAAAAACCAGCCTACGCCGTCATGCTCTCTGTCGCTTGTGGATGTAGTCGCGTTTTGAGAATACTATTTTCAAAGAAATCTGTCAAGATAATTGTCTGTAGGATGTACATGCTTCT